TATTGGGCTCCTTCCATGTCACCATACTCATGATTACCATCCTCAAGCTTCATTGCCATTAATGCTATGTCATCCGTGCCGTGGGGTCCATCAAAATCAGTTATTGACAAGAACGTATATTTCATTTATTAGATTTCAAAGAATCATAATTAATTATGGTCACCATTATTATTTATTTTCCTTTTTGTTTAATTTCCCTCTACAATTAGCTGATTGCTTCAAGAATCAAACTTGATATGTAGATGGAAGACAAGGTGACAGCTGATATCAAAAAACCGATACTACATAACAAAGATGGTTGCTTGCTACGAACATATATCTACAGGGTGCCCCTAATGGTCCATCATCTAAATGAAGAGGCTTACACTCCAAAACTTATTTCGATTGGCCCCTTTCATTATGGCCATGAGAGGCTTCAAGATATGGAAGCTCAAAATCAAATTTTCTTCAAAGCATTTACATAAAAAGCCATGTCAAATTTGGACGAATTGGTTCATTTTGTAAAACATTTTGAGCCAAAAGTTCATGCATCTTACTATGAGAAAAGCACACTTAGTGAAGAAGAACATGTGAAGCTGATATTAGTAGATGCTGGTCTCACCATTGAGCTCTTCATGAGGAACCATAAGTTTCATCAAGAGACTCGTAATGATGCTAAATTAAGGGGTGTTCAGCTTGTACTCATTTTGATTGGCCTGATATTGTCTCGATCATATCAGGACGGGTTTTGTCCCAGCCTAAAAACAATCAGAACAAGACTTTGCAGGACAGGACAGGAAAGGCTTTCGGGACAGAACGAGATACAGGATTACCATCAGGACGTCCCGTCCGATCCCGAATATTATATATATATATATTATTATTTTTAAAAATATACATTAAATATATTAATTATGTTAATATAATTTATACTTATATTAATTATATCAATTACAATTTCAATACGTGTAATTCTTATTTAAAACTAAAATTTTTTATATTAATAATTTCAATAACATGGAGTAAACAGGGCAATATCTTTCTTTATAATATATTAATTATATTAATATAATTTATTTTTATATCTATCTATTTAATAATTTTTATTTATATCGTATTTCTTGCTTTATTATTGAAAGAGTAACTAGCTTAGCATATCTCAATTAAAATAGAAGAATAATGATTTGATGTTGTGTTTGACTTGCCTGTTGTTGCTACTCTTATAGCCTAGAGATCACTTGTAATTGTTATTATAATGTGTAGTTGTGATTAATGTCATTCAATAATTAACTTTAAATTATTGTGATTTATGTACTTGTACTGTTTTGATTTTTAACTTAATAAATTATATGATTTAAAATTTTAATGAATATTATTATCCCGACTCCAACATTGTCTGATTTATCAGGACGACGAGACATCCCGATCTTATCCCAATCTTATCCTGATTCCTAACGAGATGGGACGACTTTCAGGATAAGACGAGATAAAAATTTAGTCCCGATCTTTTTTGAGGACAAGACACAGGACAGGGGTGTCCCAGTCCCGTCCCATCCCATAAACACCCCTATGCTACACTGTCACACCCATGGTTGAGAGTTGCTATAAAGATAAATTTGTTATCACTTGAGAATCAACTTCCTTTCTTTGTTATTCAAAAGCTATTTGATATGGCATTTCCCCTTGACCATCGTTTTGACCTCCCTTTATTTATTGAGCTCTCATATGAGTATTTTGCATCTTGTAACATCCAAAACTTACATACTCATCTCAATGTTAGGATCGAGCACTTTACAGATCTTCTTAGACTGTTTTACTTACGAAGAAAAAGACCTAGAAGGCATTCATTTCTAGAGGCCACAAACCATGTTCTTTTTTGTAGTGCAAATGAGCTATAGGAAGCAAGAGTAAAGTTGAACGCAAGCACAAGCAAGTGCTTACTAGAATTGAAATTTTTGGGGAATGTTCTCAAGATTCCACAATTTTTGGTGGAAGATAGCGCAGAAATGTTGTTTGGTAATATGATAGCTTTGGAGCAATGTTATTATCCCTACAATCTTACATTACTGGCTATGCTATGGTGGTGGATTGCCTCATCAACACCCATAAAGAAGTGGATTTCCTCGTTCACATGAAAATAATCAACAACTATATAGGTGACACCAATGATGTTGCTGCAATTGTTGATGGTCTCTACAAAAATGTCGGTAATGTGAATTTCAATTCCAAATACCGTGATACTTTCCAAAGTTTGAATGACTTTAATTTTGTCAAATTTCATGGAACAAGAAGGCAACTGTGAGACGTGATTATTATCGTACACCATGGCAAATCGTTGTTTCTATTGCTGGGATTGTCCTCGTTCTCTCCCTTGTTCAGACCATATTTTCTATCCTCTAAGTTGTGATGATGAAGTAAAGTAGATTCAAAGTATGTATGATACTGATGATATTTGAGCGTTCTACTGTCCAAGTTTTTTTTTTTTAAAACATGAATGATGTGAAATTTCTCGAACTCGTAATTAGGGAAGCATTATTACATAATGTTCGGACTTCAGTTTTGAACATAAGATTGCATTGTTCTAACTCGTAATGATCTCAATGCTTATATATTGAAAATTGGTAAATGGTATTACTTATATTGAAAGGAAATAAAATTTCCTGATGCTTATGAAAAAGAATGTCCTGCTATTTTTTATCATAGGAAACCATTTCACATGATTGAGAAAGCTAATCAAGATGACGTTTTAACAGATTTTCTTATAGCGAGAACATAAAGCGTTTCACAGATTTGCTTAGGCTTTTGCCCTTACAAAGAGAACCACCAACAGTGCAACCATAACTTTGGACTGTTGACATTCTTTTACATGGTGCAAAAAAGCTGCAAGAATTTGGAGTCAAGTTCAGGTCTATGAAGAGCAAGAGTTTATTAGACATCAAGTTTTCAAATATATTTTCTATCCTCAAGTGGTATACATATGAAGCTTTTTTTTTATGCAAAAAGAATATACATATGAAGCTTTGTATATATATTTAAGCGTTCTATCCTCAAAATTAATTTGTCGTGTTCAAATATATTGTTCTGTGATAGCTGTATCAGTTTAAATCTTTTGGATGAACATCAACTGTGTAGTAAAGCAATACTGCTTCTTGTTTCATTTTTTCTTATAAATGCATTGGTTGTAATTAAGAAGCCTAGAAGATCTGTATATCAGTATATGATTCGCTAAATTCGCTAAATAACTAATTAATAATTTTAGCTTGTATGATATGGAGGACCATTCGGTGCAGTTAATCTAAACTTTAGTGCTTAACTAGGTCATTGACCATACTAATTTTAGTTTTTAAGGTCTCTCATTATTGCATGCCTCTTTTTGGTTGTACCAAATTTGATTGATTGGATTTGGTTAGTGCAAAAATTGTCAAATTATTTTGCTAAATAATCAATAGATGTATCGTTGGCTTTGTTTATAACTAATAATAACTAAATTTGTAAGGAGTGGCGGCTAGGACCCTGGATCAGGAGATACAGTATATTTTTTAAAATTTCAAACTCAAAAATGATAATTTTAAATTGAAATTACATATGTTATAATTATTCTCTAATTGATTTTTTTCTTTGTAATAAGTATATAATGATTTTATTGTTGATGTTATTAAAAGTATTTCATTAAATATAACTATACTAAACTATTATTTTAAAAGTGGCCTCCATTTTTCAAGATCTTTGGAGCAAAAAATAAAGAATTTTTTTAACCATTGCAATGATAATGTGTAAAATCATTGTTAACTTTAGAAAAATATAAAACTAGTAAGGTAAATAAGCAATTTATCCTTTTAATTTTAAGTCTAATAACACTATAAATTTTAAATCTATTTATTGTGCAAATTATTCTCTTAACTTTCAAAAATAGTACACTCAAATTTCTGCCATTAACAAAAGTTAACTTTGACAATTAGTTAACTAAAAAATAACATAAAAGGACCTCAAAAATTATAAAAAATGACCAAAAAAAATTTTTGCCCTTTTCTAAATTTTTTTGGCTCCTTATCTGTAACTTTTGGCCCCTTTATTTTAACTTTTTGGTTTTTTTTTAAGAAAAGAAAGCATGAGGATTGCGATTAATTATTATTATATGGTCACATATAGTGCTGTGGAAAGACTGAATAAAACTAGCAAGGGAATGTAAATTTGAAGGACAGAACACTAAAATACACAAGCTTCAAATCTAGCTATACTTATATATTGCCCGAAGGATAGAAAATATGGTTTGAATAAAGGTGAGAATGAGAAGTATGATTCCAGCAATAGAAGCCACTGTTCGCCAAGCTGTGTTGCAGTGATCTGTTCTCAAAGTTGACTTTCTTTTGTGCCATGGATCTTGATAGAACTCAGTTGGTGATATAAAATATATAATTCAAGTTTTTCCTACACATATAAAATTCAGTTGGTAATATTATATATTATAATTATTTTCATTTTTAATATAATTTTTTGATAATTTAAAGTACTTATTAATAGAACATGCATGATTGTTTGAAGCAAATGATTACTATATCGCTATATATAAAATAATGTCATTTGCAGACGAGGGGCGCATTCGGCTTCAATGGCAAGGCAGCGTCTTTCTTCCTTTGCCTCACATGGTCCCGTGTTTGAATCAGCAAGAGCGCTTTTCTCACCAGATACAAAACAGTCGCCATTGATTGTTAGTTTTGGCATTCAGCTGCTAGTGGTGATCTTGCAAATCTTTTCATAACCAAAACAAAGAGACCAATTAAATTGTGTTTCTCGTAAATCGTGATTCAGAGGATTTCATTAGAAATGATTAAAAAGCTTCGAAGTTGTGCATCTGCCACAGAAAAGAGAGTAAAGAAAACGAAGAATAAGGATTACGATTATATATTATTGTATGGTTACACATGGTACTGTAGAAACGCTGAATAAAACTAGCAAGTGAACGAAAAATTCAAGGATAGAACACTGAATTAATTATACAAGCTTCAAATCTAGATATACTTCTATACTACTTGGAGGATAGAAAATATGGTTTGAACAATGGTGAGAGCGAGAAGTATGATTCCAGCAATAGAAGCCACTGTTTGCCAAGGTGTGTTGCAGTAATCTCTTCTCAAAGTTGCCTTTCTCTTGTGCCAAGGATTTTGATAGAAGTCATTCAAGTTTTTGCAAATGTCAAGGTATTCAACATTGAAATTGTATGCAGTTATATTTTTTCCAAGACCATTAAATAATGTAGCAACCTCATCGGCATCACCTAGCAAGTTGTGGATAATCTTTTTATTAGTGAGAACGTCCACATCTTCTTTTGTGTTGACTAGGCTATCAAATACAAAAACATAGTCAATAATATAAGATTCATAAGGATAACGGCACCGTTCTAAAGCTATCATATTACGAAACAAAGTTTCAGTGTAATCTTCAACATAAATTTCAGGAATCTCAAGAACATGTCTTGAAAATTTCAAGTCTAGTAAGCACTCGCTCTTTCCTGCCTTCAACTTTAATCCTGCCTCTTTTAACTCTTTTGCGTTGTGTAAAAGAAAATCAGATCCATCCTGTTCAAACTATTTCCTTTCATCTGGTTTTGCTTTTGCCGATAAGTAAAATAATCTAAGAAGATCTGTGAAGTGCTTTATCCTAACATTAGGACTAGGCTGTAATTCTTGAATGTTATGATCGGCAAAGTAAGAATATGTAAGCTCAAGAAATGAAGGGCAGCCAACTCTAAGATGAAGTGGAAGTGCTATATTGAATAGCAGTTCAAGGAAAAAGTACGGAAGTTGATTCTCAAGTAAAAGCAAATCGATACTTATAGCTTCCTTCAACCATGTTTGTGATAGTTTAGCATCTTTGTTTGTCTCATCATCGCCTTCCCGCATCATCATAAAGAGCTCAATGATGGAAGCAGCATCCACTAACATCAATTTAACAAGATCCTTCTTGCTAAGCTTGATGCTCTCTGAATAAGAAGCACGAACATTGGGCTCAGACTGTTTTGCAAAGTTGACCAAAGTGTTCAAGTCTATCATCGTAGCTGATCTTTCTACAAATCTTCTGAACACTATTTTTTTGTGGTCTTGCATGTCTTGCAGCCTCACATCGCCATAATGGAAGGGACCAATGGAAACAACCTGTGGAGTGTAAGCTTTCTCTTTTAGAAGACGAATCATTGGAGGCACCCTGTAGATACAACGCAAAGGCGAGGAGAGACCATCTTCTCTATTATCTGTAATTATTGCTTTTATATCTATCATGATCTCCTCATCTTCCATATCTATTAGCAAAACAAACAAGGTGACTGATCATAAAACTCGATCAGGAAATATATAAATTGTGTTTCTCGTAAATTGTGATCTAGCAAATCTTTTCACAACCTAAACAAAAAAACCAATCAAAATAGGCTAATATATAGTTGAGGTACCGAATTTTACTAAAATTGTAAGCAATAGGAAAGTATAAGAAAAGCCTTAACGATTAAACAAGAGGACGCGATGCGTACTTGACGATGATGAGAAGTTGGAATTTTGACTGCAAATTGTTGTATTCAGTATGCTTTAGACGAATCCTTCGCGTAGGCTATTTATAATAGCCAACTGAGGAAGCCAGATGGAAGTTGTAATTATAATAATAAATATATTGAACATGAGTTTTCTAATAAAATTAGTTGCTATTTTTGCTGCAAGTTCTCAAAGCTGGGTGTCACGTTCGCCATCCAATTCACAATTAGAACCAGCGCGAGAGTAACCGAATGGATATCAGATATATTATTCATTCATCGAGCAGCCATGGCTACAAGTCAATAAAATTCCACAAAAACGATTACAGACAAATATTCAGAAAGAAAGGAAGAACATACAGAAGAAAATCTTATAATTTGATGAAACAGTATTCACATCGAAATGACACATTGATTTTAGTAAAAATATAATAGTAAGTCATGTACTTTGAATGTATACTATTTTTAATCCCTATAATTTTTTTTTATTATTTCTTGTGTTTTTAAATTTAATCGGTCTTTAACAATAGTTTCTGTAATTTTAAAAATAAGCATAAAGGCCAAAGCGAGTAATAGTTGCGATATTGAACTTCACTGAAAATTTAAGCAATGGGAAAGCATAGAATTTAAGAAAAGCCTTGATGATTAAACAAGAGGACGTCATTCTTACTTAGCAAATTATTCTGTTTAGTACATACTTAGTTAAAAAATGAAAGACATTTTTTCACTGGCTGAATATTCAAAAATATAAAATATTTTTAATGTTTTAAGATGTAATTAATATATTTTTTCAACAATAATGTCCATAATAAATAAATAGCTCTATATTTATTTTAAAGTGAAACACTCATTAAATAATTAGCTAATTTATTGAAAGATAAAATTTAATTAAAAATATTTTATATTTTTTAACAGATGGATTATACTTTAACATTAGTGGTCAGTAAATTTTCTTTATTTTATATTTTACTCCCAAAGAATTATAAAAATAAAATTTGGAGCTTAAAACTACCGTTTTTTCTGCAGAACTTAAAAATATAAAAATGGCAAGATTTATATACTTAATCTTATATACTTAATATATTTTAATCCAAAATAAATTAAGGCAAGTGGATTTTCTAATTATCTAATTTTTCCTATATAAAAAATAACAAATTCTATATTTATTGCTCAGCTAACATGTTCCTTACTTATGAATTTAAGGACTTATTTGGCAAACTGTTTTGAAAATAGTTTATTATTCTTGAAAACAAAAAATAAAAAAAAATATGTTTAATAACGTGTTTTCAAAAAGTGTTTAAAAATATTATTTTAGAGAATAAAAAAATAAAAATATCTTTTAAGTATTTTGAAATTATTGGACTGAAGAACAAGAAAGAATAAAAAAAATCTATTTCTATTATTTTTTAAATTTTCAAAACATATTCTATAAAAAAATTAATTCTTAAAATAATAAAATAAAAATAATTTTAAATAGGCCCAATCTTCTCCAATTTCCAACATCTCTATCTCTCTCTCCCCCCAACCATTCAATAGGTTGTACTCTTCACTGTACACATGGGAAATAATATTTTATGACCGAATTGCCCTTGCACCAGAATAGTATGGAATTTTCCAATGAGACCTGTGTTTCTTTTTCCCAACACCTATGATCGCAGTTATACTCCCCCTCTTCTTCTTTTAATTAACATTATTGTTAAGTAAATTTTCTTTATTTATTTTATATTTTAGTCCCCAAGAATTATAAAAATAACATTTTGAGCTTAGAAATATCATTTTTCTTGCCGATCTTTCTTCACGCTTTAATTCAAACTTATAGTCCTCTTATTAAAAATATAAATAATTTTTAACAATAATCTGCATATCAATAAAATTCATATTCTCATGAAAATATATATTATTTTTTTATTATTATTAATTTTAATTTATGATGAATGAGAATAATGTTATAAATTCACGGATGCAACAATCTAGATTAATACATATATAAGGGATGAAATAAGAAAAATGTTTTAAATTATTTATATTTTAAAAAAATATTAATTAAAAAAATGTTTGTTCTTTGGACAGAATGGAGTAAAATTTTGTGCATTTATTGGTCAGCTAACATGTTCTTCACTGGTGGCATTCCATTTAATATCATGTTGGAGTCTTCGTCAATCCAAACCAACTGCATCCAAAATCTCTCTCTCCCTCTACCCACAACCATTCAAAATGTTTTAAAAGTTAGACCGGACATTTAAAATATTTTAAAAGTTAGACCGGACATTGAATTAAAAAAGTCGACAGCTCTCAATTTTTATGGTTTAATTGATTAAACTAGCAGTTGGACAGGTTATGTAAGAATTAAATAAAAATAAAATTAAATGTATATATAAAATAAATATAAGAAACAAATATATAGTATGTTAATAAAATAATATAACATGACCATAAATTAACAATATTATAAATTATAATTTTATAACTTGTTAAATATAAGTGAATCTTGGTTAAATTAAATATAAATAGATTCAAAAGTATTTGTATTTGTACATATAACTGTACATATCTTTATAAAAAATGATCTCAAATCTTTTCATATACATGTGAATTGTCCAAAAATAGAATTGGCTTTTAGTAGGGATCTAATTTTTGAATTTTTCTTAAATTTTTAAAGATTTTTTTAATATTATGTTTAAAACCTATGGTGCATTCAATCTTATGTTTTTTTAAGACAAAATTAAAATTAAAATTGTGAATCATGGGACAGAATTGCCTATCAAGCAATTAATGGTGATTTCTATGAATACATTGATATCTTCAAACGGTTCAACGAATATATTCTGCTGAAATCATAATCTGCATTCTCACCATTAATCTTCAAACCTTACTTTCTATCATCAAGAAGTGAAGTGTTAGATTAGTCAACATGATTAGTTTTAATCACCTCGTTAGTTGGTGACTCTAAAATCTACATACTCTTCTAATCTTATTTATAGGGTAGATAAAGTATTCATTTTGATCTTATTTATAAGGTAAATTAATGATTATTACATTTATCTTTACCATTTTGCTACTATAAAATGTTACGAAGTTCATTAAATGCTAGTCTTTTATTTTTTGAAGTGAGTATATTTATTAGGGGTAGAGAGTTGAAAACTTTTTAAATTTTTTGATAAAATTAATAAGGTTTAAGGTTTTCTTTAATTCTAATAAAAATGATGGAAGTAACTTAAAAATAAGACCAAAGGGAAGGTGAAATTTGAATGCTTTTTTTATCTTCATTATTAGGCAAAGTTAGAGTAATTAATGTTTTTTTAAATTGTATCCCTCATTTATTTATTGTTGCTTGATTTCCTAGATAAAAATTTATTTCATAGTTCTTAATTGTAAAGATGGGTAGAATTCGAATGCTACATGCCTTTTTTTAAAACAATTTTGAGGTTATAATTAACATTTCTTAATAAACATGAAGTTGGTTACTTATGAATTATGATGCTTGTATATATAGTATATACTCTTTCCATTTAAAAATGTAAAGTATTTTTTAAAAGGTTAAATGTTAAAAAATGTAAGATATTTTTAATGTTTTAAGGTGTAACTAATATGTTTTTACCAACAATGCCATTAGCGAATAAATCATTTAATATTTATTTTTAAGTAAAATACTCTATTAAAGAAGGTAAATATAACAAAATGACGTTAGTTGAAAGAAAGCTAACTAATTAAAACTGCTTTATATTTTTAAAGGGCCTCATTTGAGTGTTGCGTATCCTCAAAATTTGTTAAGTTCAGTGACTAGTGTTCAAATATTGTTATATAGCTGTATTAGTTTAAAGCTTTCATTGTATATTGTTCAGGATACAACTCTTTTGGATGAAAAATCTCAATTGTCAAGTAGTAAAGCAATACTGCATGATAATTTTCAACTTGATATGAACTTGTGTGGTTACCGTAGGAGACAAAGTTTAAATAAATAAAAAAATGGAACCACGAATAAGGAATGGGTGATACAATTTACCGTGGAATCATGATGATATACTTCAAAGTGCTTCCTTAAATGCCAGTTTAGGAGCTCTCCAATCATAACAAAGTTCAACCATAGGACACTTAAATATTCTCTCTATCTCATTTTTAAGATATAATTATTTTTGATAAAATTTTGCATGCTAATAAAATTCATTAAATGTAATTTAAAATTTTAATTTTATATTTTTTTTATCCAAAATATAAGCAGTTTTTTAAAAAAATCTGCATACTAATAAAGTCTTCGTTCTCATAAAAATATATATTGTTTTCTCTATGTACTTCTAATCCCAATTACTTACATTTATATAAAGATTTAGGTTAATAAATATAAAGTATGAAATGAAACAAAGTATTTTACGTATATTATGCTGTTTATATTTTGAATTAAGATTTATTAAGGAAAAATATTTATAATTTAAATAGCATCAAGTATTAGCTTTTAAAAATATTCTCTGTTAGCATGAGAGAAAAAGGGGGGGGGGGGGGGGGGAGTACCTCTTCTAGTTGCTGATCTCTGGATTTTTGTCTTTCGTCGGCGGTGATATATCCATCTTTATTGCAACTTCATAAAGGTGTTATTGACATAGAGGACGTAGACAGACAGAGGGGCTTAAAGTAACGACGTTAATTTCATATTAACCGTGAGGGTCTGATTATCATGAGTGTAATTGTTTAGAAATTAAAATATAAAAAAAATTAGAATTCAAATAACGCCCAAACCTATAACATACGACCTTTATTACCATTTAACCCTTCTTCTTTTTT